TGCCGTCAATTTACGCAGCACTTTACATATATATTGTACATTCACATTAGTCCCTAACCCTCAAGGGGTGTACAATTTAAGGTCCCTAACTCACATTCATATACAAGAGCCAATTTAGACAGGAGCAAATTAATCTACTAGCATGTCTTTGAAGTGTGGGAGGAAACCGGAGTACCCGGAGGAAACCCACGCAGGCACAGGGAGAACATGCAAACTCCAGGTGCCGTGGCTGGGATTTGAACCAACGACCCTAGTACTGCCAGGCGGAAGTGCTAACCATTTAGCCACTGTGCTGCCCACATATACATTACATATACGTTATGAAAACAAAAACAAATAACCTGCGCTTGGGTAAATCAACTAATCTTAAAAAATACATAGAAACACATTAGGCAATAAATATAATAAATAAACAAATATAAAAAATCAGCGCTAATAAAAAAAAAACATATAGTCCAATAAAACATAAAGTCCCAAAAAATATTCCCACGATCCACCATCAACAAGACACCCGAATGGTTCAGCCTCTTACCAGACATTCTGACCGAAACACACCGGTCAATATAGGCAACTCAAATGGGAGACGAACATGTAAATCATGGAACCAGCAATCCTCATCCAGGTGGATATCAATCTTCCCCTTTAAAGATCTGAAGTCGGATCTAAAAAGAATACTCTCATCCAATATTTAGATACAGGATAAAAGAAAAAGGCCAGTCATAGTGTAGTATTTAAGTAATAAAATCACCCTGTTTAATTTCAAGTTACTTGTACATTGTTTTGGATGGTTACCAGCATTTGAATTGAGTTTCCAACCAAGAAAATGGCCGCTATTCCTCCAAAAAAAACTGATGACGTTACACGCCGAAGCTCCACTGACGCATTTCGTCATCCAATTGATGTCATCAGGGTGTCAATGTATGAGTAACTTGAAATTAATACATATACGTTATGGCTTTCAAGTGATATACCGGGATGATACCTGCAGCTGCAGGCATCATCCCGGTATTGTTTTTTCCTGGAGGTGATTGGCTATTTTGTAAAAGTCATCTGGGCAGCTAATTAGCCGTTGGGTTGCTTTTACAGGCCGTAGGAGACGGTTGACTTATCATAGAGCCCATGGAGGACCGGAAGGTCTCCAATGAACTCTGATACTGGAAACCAGATACGAAGAGTACTATTGTCCCTTCTGGTTTCCCCAGAAGTAAACGTGCCATTTTTAAATCTTGAAAGCATTTGATCTAACTGACGTTGGTGTGATCAGATGCTTTTAGGGCAGAGGAGATGTCGGGGGTCTAATAGATCTCTCCATAAAGAGGACCTGTCACTGCCTATGGCTGTCATAAGTGACGTTCACATACCATGTGACATCAATAAAAGTGATTAAAGAAAAAAAGAGTGTAAAAACCAAACAAATAAATAATAATAATAAAATGTTTTTTTTTTTTTAAAGTGACCAGTTGCTCACACGCAAAGGACAAAGCACACATTGCTCCCATACGCATATGTAAATGGAACCACACATGTGAGGTATTGCTGCAAGCTTCAGCAAGAGCAATAATTGTAGCACCAGACCTCTGTAGCTCTAAACTGGTAACCTGTAAGGGCTTATAAAGCGTCGCCTATGGAGATTTTTAAATACCGTAGTTTGACACAATTCCACAAGCATGCACAATTTTAAATTGTGGCATGTTTGGTATCTAATTACTTGGCGTAACACCCAAACATCCGGTATTATATTGTGTTTGTGTGCATAAAAATTCATGAAAGTGTATTTTTGGCCAAAAAATTATGTTAAAAAAAACTGCTGCACAAATACCATGTGACATAAAACATTGCAAAACCCACTATTTTATTCTCTAGGACCTCTGGTAAGAGATACATATATATATATATATATATATATATATATATATATATAATATAAGTGTTTAGGGGTTCTATCTATTTTTACAATTTGCTAGCAAAAAATACTGTTTTTTTACATGTAAATAAAAAGTGGGTCTTTAAGTGGATATATACAGTATATCCAGCAAGTGGTCACTACAGTATCATGGCTGCAACTGGATGTTCTTGATATTGTTTTATACAGCTTGCAATTCTCTGTAAAAGTGATCTGGTCGGCTTTACATCACTTTTATAGTAATGAGGCACAAACCCCCCTCGCCACCAACCACGATGGTTCTCAAAACTATGTTAAATGGCTGGGATCCCTTCACAAAGAGGAGATGGAGGAACATCCGTTCCCCCATCTCCTCTGTAACAAGTGAAGCCAGAAGTGACACGTATTTTGTATTTTGTCACTTCTGGTTTCAGAGCTGTCATGCCCTGGCTGTTGCAGCAAGGGAAGCAGCTGATCAAATATGATCTGTGCTTTGGAGGGCAGGTGTCAGGGACTGCAGGCCTCGCAGCAGGCACAGGTCTAGGTGCACTAATGTGCAGGCACTAGGACCTGGGTGTCGGCGTCGGCAATTGCACCATTGACGGTGCAGGGCGCACTATTTAAACTGGCCAGACGGTGACTAGGTTGCCGCAAGGTCTAGTTCCTGTACCCGTGTTCTGAAGTGTGTTCCTGTTGCCGATCCTGCTTGTCCTGATTTGTGTTGACCTTCTCCTGCTCTGACCCCCGGCTCGTCCCTGACTACTCTCCTGCCTGTTGTTATATTACTATAACAGGACCTCCTGTTGCTGATCCTTGGCTCGTGACCCACCTGCTCTCTGTCTACTGTTTGGTACCTACCCGCCTCCACCGTTACCGACCTAGCTAGTCTGACTACGCTCACTCCTGACTGTCATCCATCCATCCCGCTCGGGACCTGGACTTGTCAGCCTCTTCACAGCAGGCTCACACCCCCGGCACGTACCCTTGGCGGGACCCCTCTACCACAGTTGGGTGCACTCGGGTCGCGACCTGGTTTGTCTCGCACCAAGTCCATCCCCACCATCAGGGGCTCTGGTGAAAAGGCAGACTGGGACTTAGACTCCGCGTCCTGGGGAATCCCGTTCTGTGGATCACTAAAGATTCCGCCGGGCGGTGCCTGACAGCAGGGTAGACGTTGCAACCCTTGATGTCTCCATAAAGTGTACCTGTCACTGCCTAAAACTATCACAGAGATGGCTTGTGTAACCCCTTGGCGCCGGCGCCTCCCAGCCCTTTAAGGGTTTCAGAAGCCGGGAGATGGGGCGGAGTTTTAGGGTCATGTTACCGCCGATGGCGAATCACGGTGGTGACATGATTGGGAAAGGTCCTGATCGAAAGAGGAGATCGAGATCTTTCCTTGAGTACTGGACATGTGTGCTGGGAGCACGCAGGGCGCGCGCTCTCAGAACATATGTTTTTCTTAATTGCACACAAATGTGCGGCCACTCTGCGTCTAGGCCCAGACGCCGGGAGGCCACACATTTGTGTGCGGCCGGCGTGAAGAGGTTAATAAAAAGAAAAAGTGTAAAAAGAAATAAAGTTGAATTAAAAAAAAAATGTTAAACATTGAAAACTACCCCTCTGCATACACACAAATTCAAATGTGCTCACAGGTCCTGAACGCATACATACATAAATAGCGTTTGCACCACATATGGAAGGTATTGCCAGGATCATCAGAGCGATGATTCTAGGGCCATTATTCAAGATGACCTCTACACTGATAACCTGTAAAGGATTTTAATGCGTCACCTACGAACAATATTAGATACTGAAGTTTGTTGCAATTTCTCAGCTGCTTGCAATTTTGAGTTGGGTATCTATTTACACTTGCATATTATTATTATATTATTATTATACAGTATTTATAAAGCACCAATAGTTCGCTCAGCGCTGTACATTACAAAGGGGGACAGAACATGTGACAGAACAATACCAATACAATGCAAAACATGAGGGGATTGAGGGCCCTGCTCTTTGGAGCTTACAATCTAGGAGTGAGGGGATGGTGGCACAGGAGGAGATAGCTGTGGGGGATGGAGTGGTAGGAAGAGTGGAGGAGGTCGGCAAGTTAGCAGGGGGTGGGGTAGGCTTCCCTGAAGAGATGGGTTTTCAGGGTGCACCTAAAGGAGAGGAGAGTAGGTGATAATCTGATGGGTTGGGGCAGGGAGTTCCAAAGGATGGGTGACACCCTGGAGAAGTCCTGGAGGCGGGCATTGGAGGAGGAGACCAGGGAACTAGAGAGAAGGAGGTCTTGTGAGGAGCAGAGTGTACTGAGTGGGCGGTACTTGGATATTAGGTCAGTGATGTAGTTCGGGGCAGTATGGTGGACGGCTTTGTATGGCATATGTCTCTTTTTAATGTTTCATAGTTTTTTTACTACACAATTTTAATTTTTCATGTTTTTTTTTAATTACACAATTTTCACCAAAAAACTCACGTATACAGAACCTGTAATTAAAATTTAAAGCAATATTAGACCCAAAACTAAAAATGTAATATATTGCAGCTTACCAATCCTTAGATGTGTTGGCTGGATCAGTTTTCTTTTCTTTAGCTTTTTTTCTCTGGTGATCTGCCCAATGAGAAACACAACTGTGGAGGAATAAACACAGGAGGCACAGAGGATAGGAGCATTGCCAGTCTGGGGAGGAGGGGAGTGTTAAATGTATTAGCAGATTTGAATACAATAACAAATTGAAGCCAAACTACAGCTCACACTTTGTAACCAGTTACAGAAAAAGTTTTTTTTTACCTTTCGGAATAAAGGTTTTACATGAATATATAAAACCTGATCATTTTAATCATCCCTGCCAGTGGTAAAAGGATTGTCTCATTCATGTAAACTGATACATTCAGCTGGAGAGCTTGAGCTTCTGAAAAACAGCAGACCTTCATGGTTAGATCACTAGATGTAAATAGATGAAAGAACGCCTAAAAAAGGAAACCAATAAAACTGCCATATCTAAGAACGGGTAAGTTGCAATATAATACATTTTTGTTTTTTGGGTTTAATACGGCTTTAAATATATACAATGACAAAATATATCACTTTTCACTGACTTTTTATCTTTCCTAGTATTATATCCAGGAGAAGCGGACACGGAAGAATCACTTAATGATAAGCCCATCATGAGAAAATACTTGTTTGGATATTCAGACATTCTTCCAGCAGCAGACTACACCTGATGCGGTATGAAGAAAATGATTAGTTATCGCAGAATGTTTGGGGAAATTCCTTTTTTTTTAGTAGATGTAGAGCTAGATAGGTTTTCAGTCAGAGACTGAGTAGTAGCCTGGGATGAGTCAGCCTGGGATGAGTCAGCCAGGTCATTTTTAGGTTGAGGACTCTGCAGATCCGTTCCCTGATACCTCCCCCTGCTCTGAAGCTTCAAAGGTTTCTAGAAGGCAGTGGTGAGAAGGGGCTGATCTGCATACTCAGGGTCTCTGGCCAATGCCCAAGCAGGAGGCTTGGCATGGGGCCAGGGCAGCCTTTAAGTATGACTGAGCTTGCTCAGCAGAACGAGTAGTGTTGGGTGGAAGATGGACAGAAGGCTGGAGTGTGGTGCCTGGGAGGGGGCCCGGGAGAGAGGACTACCTGCAGGCAGAAGCTAGAAGGGAGGATCTCTCAGCCTCACCGGTCCCCTGAGAAACCTGACTACCCCCCATCTGGGACTGTTGATTTAAAAGTGGCAGTTTCTTGGCCCCCCTTGCTCAGGGATTCCCACAGGCAGCTGGGTGAAGAGGAGAATTTATCTGGGGTCTGCGGTGGTACACCAGGAGGGATGGAGAGCTCTCCAAGAAAAGAATCTTTGACTGTGGACATGTACAGTTGCAAGAAAAAGTATGTGAACCCCTTGGGATTACGTGGAGTTTTGCATGAATTGGGCATAAAATGTGCTCTGAACGTCATCTAAGTCACAACAATAGAAGAACACAGTCTGCTGAACATAATACTACACAAACATTAGATGTTGCCATGGTTTAATTGCACATAACATGTAAACATTCACAGTGCAGGGAGGAAAATGTATGTGAACCTTTGCACTTAATAACTGGTTGACCCTCCTTTGGCAGCAATAACCTCAACCAAACGTTTCCTGTAGTTGCAGATCAGACCTGCACAACGATCTGGAGTAATTTTGGACCACTCCTCTTCACAAAACCGTTTCAGTGTAGCAATATTCTTGGGATGTCTGGTGTGAATCGCTCTCTTAAGGTCATGCCACAGCATTTCAATCGGGTTGAGGTCAGGACTCTGACTGGGCCACTCCAGAAGGCGTATTCTGTGCTGTTGCAGCCATTGTTTTTTTGAATGACTTGTATGCTTTGGGTCATTGTCCTGTTGCATCACCCATCCTGTGCGGAGCTTCAGTTGGCGGACAGATGGTCGTACGTTTTCCTGCAAAATGTCTTGATATACTCTGGAATTCATTTTCCCATCAATGACAACAATCCGTCCAGGCCCTGAGGCAGCAAAGCAGCCCAAAACCATGATGCTCCTTCCGCCATGTTTTACAGTGAGGATGAGGTTTTGATGTTGGTGTGCTGTGCCTTTGTTTCCTAGTGTTTGTTTTTCCCAAACAACTCAATCTTGGTTTCATCAGTCCACAGTATATTTTGCCAGTAGTGCTGTGGAACATCCAGGTGCTCTTTTGTAAACATCAAACGTGCTGCAATATTCTTTTTGGACAGCAATGGCTTCCTCCGTGGTGTCCTCCCATGTACGCCATTCTTGTTTAATGTTTTCCTTATTGTAGATGTGTCAACAAAAATGTTAGCATGTGCCAGAGATTTCTGTAGGTCTTTAGCTGACACTCTGGGATTCTTCTTTACCTCATGCAGCATTCTGCGCTGTGCTCTTGCAGTCATTTTTACAGGACGACCACGCCTAGGGAGAGTAGCAACAGTGCTAAACTTTCTCCATTTGTAGACAGTCTGTCTTACCGTGGACACATGAACATCAAGGCTTTTGGAGATACTTTTGTAACCCTTTCCAGCTTCATGCAAGTCAACAATTCTTGATCGTAGGTCTTCTGAGAGCTCTTTTCTGCATGCATGGTTCACATCAGACAGTGCTTCTTGAAACCAGTAAACCCAAAACAGGTGTGTGTTTTTTAAGGGCAGGACAGCTGTCAGCAACACATCCAATATCATCACACTGATTGGAGTCAAGGTTGGCTCACTCCTGGCTCCAATTAGCTCTGGGAGAAGTCATTAAGCTAGGGGTTCACATACTTTTTCCTCCCTGCACTGTGAATGTTTACATGTTATGTGCAATTAAACCATGGCAACATCTAATGTTTGTGTAGTATTATGTTCAGCAGACTGTGTTCTTCTATTGTTGTGACTTAGATGACGTTCAGAGCACATTTTATGCCCAATTCATGCAAAACTCCACGTAATCCCAAGGGGTTCACATACTTTTTCTTGCAACTGTACATAGTTGCTAGGAGTTGTCCTCAAGTTGTAGTTCCCTTGGGCATCTCTTACAGCCCTCAACCCCATCCAAGTTCAATACCCCTTAATAAAACAAAACAAAAAAAAGCTCAAGGACACTGTTTGTCTCCAGTGTGCAAGGTCTGAACAAAATGCATGTTGTTTGACTGTGCAACTCAGCAATTCATGGGGTGGTGCTACATAGAGAAAAGCTAACATTTCTGCTAATGTATGTGTCCCTATTATAGATTTTCCCTTACTTCCTGTCTGGTGAAAGCATGGCCGCTGTGACCGTAAGTAAGGGGAAAACTCTTTTAACGGAGGTTGATGGGGGTTCTAATCCTTCTCCACTTTTAGCTGGACTTGCATTTTAAGATTTTTTTTTTATCCTGGTATACAATCTCGGCACTGACATTTTACCATTCTCCCATGGAACCCGTTCAAGGTGAGTCACATGATCAGAGAGGATAAGCCTCTTTCAATCAGATAACTGGATAGAACTGAAGGATCTCAGAGGTATTGATTGGCTTTTGCCTAAACATTTGGAAACTATATCACTGTGATACTTCACCATTTCCAGTGGTTTGACTTCTCACAGTGAGATCCTTGGAAGAAATTTTGGTTAGGACCGTTCTCTTTATGTTACTGTGAATGGGCAGTATAGACGGACACCGTTCCTTCCCTAATCACATCACTGAAACTCCAGTTATTTAGTTTAGTGGTGGATAGAAGACACCCTGGATGTTGTGCATGTTGGTCCAGACTTGCCCCCTGACCTTCTTGTATGTGTGCACTCTCTCCAAGGAAAACTTTCCAAGAAAAATATTGGCAAGTGATAGGAACAAACATGGCCATAAAATATTAACATCCCTTGGTAGGACTATCCTCACAATGTTGTGCATTCTGTGCTCAAGTCATGCTTCAGTAAGCAAGTTATTTCCCACTGGGGGCTGAGCTGCATTCAGAGTTCATATTTTATGGACTTGCTGAAAACTGAGTCTACCCTATCTCCACCGAGATTCCTATTGCCACTGAGTTCCACTTCATATTTATAATATTTGGACTTCGTGCAGTGTATGTTGTTTTTCATATCAGGAGCAAACATGGGTGTCTATGGATAATCGGACATCAAAAGGGCAGCAAACATTTAACCCTCAAAGATGTCCAGGCCTAATTTAGCAGTCCATTATCTTGACGATTACTCTATAACTAATACCTAAATCATATTTATGGGGTTTTTTTTTACGTAGAATTCTGGGATTCAACTAAATAATCTTAAAACTGCTCCCTCCTCGCTTTCTAACACCTATACTAACCTCCCCGTGGAAGAAAGATGGATATACAGTTGCAAGAAAAAATATGTGAACCCCTTGGGATTATGTGGAGTTTTGCATGAACTGGGCATAAAATGTGCTCTGAACGTCATCTAAGTCACAACAATAGAAGAACAGTCTGCTGAACATAATACTACACAAACATTAGATGTTGCCATGGTTTAATTGCACATAACATGTAAACATTCACAGTGCCGGGAGGAAAAAAGTATGTGATCCTTTGGACTTAATAACTGGTTGACCATCCTTTGGCAGCAATAACCTCAACCAAACGTTTCCTGTAGTTGCAGATCAGACCTGCACAACGATCTGGAGTATTTTTGGACCACTCCTCTTCACAAAACTGTTTCAGTGTAGCAATATTCTTGGGATGTCTGGTGTGAATCGCTCTCTTAAGGTCATGCCACAGCATTTCAATCGGGTTGAGGTCAGGACTCTGACTGGTAATTCTATATAGCAACACTTACACCCTATAGTATCCCAGAAAAGTTATCCACCTCCACCCTTGAAGGCCAACTAGACAAAATATATATGACTTTCCTTTAAACAAATAAAATAAATAAAATAAAATAAAACCAACACAAAAACATCAAACCATGAAGAATTGTCCAAAATCCCACAGTGTCCAAAAATTCAAAATATAAAAATAAAAAAATCAAAAAAATATGACAAAAATAATCCCCACAGGTGTAAAGTAAAAAACTGATTCTTCTTCTTTCATCACCAAAAAAACCTTCTTAATATCCACAAATCCTGATGTTCATACACCTCAAAAAGGAAAAAAAAACTCGACATAGTGTCATACCTTAAATAATATTAAAACACAAGATGGCCGCGTGTCACATGACGTCAGACGTATCGACGTTGACCGGAAGTGCGATCGCGGCCATCTTGGAAGTGGGAACATGCGGCCAATGTTTCCCTGAACCTGTCCATGCTTGTACCTTTGTGAGGAGGAACTGTTGCCATCCGAATTTTTATGTGAGTTACCAATAAAGGAGGATATCTTTTATATACTGTGACTGATTTTCTTGAGGATGGTGGAGGAAGTGGCCCTAGTCTTGGAGAAAATCGTTGTGAGGTGAAATTAACCCAGAGTGGTGTCTTGCCCTGCTGTTTCTTCTATAGGGTAATTACCCATCAGCATAAGAGTTTGGAGAGTGGTTTTTGGCTATCACTGATATATATAGGGTGTGGTGATATACACTGGCAGTGATATTTTTGGAGTGGTTTTCACACGTTGTATTTTTACATTCCATGTGAATGTGTTTCACTTATACTGATATTCACTTATATATTTGCATGTGTATAGACACTCGTTCAGAGCATACACATTTACAAAAAATATTTTGCATGCTGCACAGTGAGTGGCACGTGTGTTTTAATATTATTTAAGGTATGACACTATGTCGAGTTTGTT